GAACAAACCTGGCAACAAACCTGGCACATGAAGGTGGCGGCCGCAGTGATTGTAGTCTTATAGAGTTTCATGTTAAGATTTTACACGCAGACAACATGGCAAGTGTGAGTTTTTGTGTGAAAAACATTTAAATCTGTATTCATTTAACTCTCAACTTTTTGCCTAATTTGATATGTCATCTCTTGGCAGCGTGATAATTGTTTACAGTAAAAGAAGACCCAAGTGCCAAGAAGTTTTTTGTTTTTTGCATTTTCACTCAGTGGTGTAAAAGAAAATATCCTGCAGCCTTAGCTTATTTTTTAGCTACTATTTTAACATTTTTCAGCAGTTTCTGTAGGACAAACCAGAGCTAAAAGTTCAGTTAATGATATACTTCAATACTTGATACAAAAAGCAATTGTTTAAAAGTGTAATGAGGATGTACTGATGCTAACATGTCAGCATATCACGTTATTAGTGGACCACGATAGCATAAAGTTAAAAACAAGAGGGTGCATTGATCAAGTGACATGATTCACCGCATAGCAGTGGCGGCCATAACCAAAGAGGGCAAGCGTCTGGATTTAGCATTGTTGTAGAAATTAGTAAAATATCTAACAGTAAGGGCTGATTATGCAAAACAAATGTAAAGCTCATTATTGATTTTCAATTCAATTCAGTTTATTTATAAAGCACCAAGTCACAACAGAAGTCGTCTCAGGGCGCTGAACAGAAACATTCATATCTAAAATAAGTTAACAGAAGCATTCATATTTTCAAATAATAATTTAACAGTATTTAGCTGAGAAATAGTCATATAATATTAGAATCATATACGGTTTCTAATGTATATAAAAATTAAAAAAATGCCACAAAGTTGTGTGCATCAGTTGTACCAACCAAAGAGCTAAAAGGAAAACGTGTCTCATTTCTCAAGTCAGCAGATTTGATTTTAATTACCTCAATGTGAATGTGATCCGACCAGAATTAAAACTAATAATGTAACCATTTAAAATTGAAATGAGCCTATAAAGCCAACCACTGTTAATTATTGAATTGGCTCACAGATAGTAGCCTCTGTGGCATATATTGCTATACAGGGTGCATCTCTATGCTGAGTCATGCTAAAATTTTGCACAAATTATTAAATAATTTATGATTTACACAGTGTAAAATAATATTATATATTTGACTATTTTTAGGTTTCCATTACACAAACCTGACCTGCTGTTGAGAAGACGATTAGCCAATACCAGTAGAGACAAGTTTCATCTTTCTAAGTATAATTTTCTAAATGTCTGTAAATACAGGTAAATAATAAGAAATATATGTTATTCAATTCGGTTCTGCAACACCTTTTATGTGTAAATTTGAGTTGTGCAGTTTTTCTTAAGGTAAATTTCAAAATACACCACAATAAATAAAATTACGGTGTTTGTATTATATGTATCCCCCCCCCCCCCACACACACACAACTGTACATGAAGATATATCTACAGCATCGCTTGAAAGTTTGTGAACCCTTTAGAATCTTTATATTTCTGCATAAATACAGTATGACCTAAAACATCATCAGATTTTCACACAAGTCCTAAAAGTAGATAGAGAGCCCAGTTAAACAAATGAGACTAAAATACTATACTTGGTCATTTATTTATTGAGGAAAATGATCCGATACATATTTGAGGTTGTGGTTTGGAGTAATTTAGTATAAAGTAAAATGGCAAAAAATAAAATTAATATAAGTTTAATTGTGTTTCTTCTGATTTGTTCATATTTTACAGCTTCTAACTGGTTGGTTATTCATTGATGCCTAGTTAGCTACAAGTGTTTGCTGAAACACTTGTAGCTAACTAGCTACTTGAGTGAGTTCCCCTAACTTTAATGTCCATCAAATGTTCCTTTTAGTTGTTTTTCCAGCCTGGTTAAAGAAACAACCTAAAGCAGGACAATTTTAAATAACTGAGGGACTTTTTAGGGTCCTGGTCTGAGGCAATAGCCTGAAGTGATGGGCGATGTGCATTCTTTCAAGGAATATTCATATTTGCTTTTCTCCACACTGACGTCCAGTCTGCAAAAAAAGTTTTTGTTGGCAGTAATGTCTATTTTCATTTTAGCTAATGCCACAATTTAATCGCTTACTGGTCAGTATGAATACTTTTAAATGGACAAACTCATCCTGCTTTGGTATTTAAAAAAAAAAGTTAAATAGATAAATAGGACGTTCAAACCGAGAAATTTAGACATTGTGGACATTCATGCACATAAAAACAAATCTGAAAACATTAAAGATATTTGTAACGTTACACACTTTCGCCTCTACACTTTGATTTCATGTACTACTTGTTAAGAAATGAATGGGGGTGTGGGGGGCAATTAACTCTTTAATATATTTAATAAGCAGAGTTGATTTTGTAAGTATGAGACATGCAGGTACAGTAGCTGTACCTCGATCCAGGAGTGAATGAACTTGGGCATTTGTTCTAAATGTGTGATATATGGCCTTCAGGGGACATTTAAAGAAGACGTGGCTGTGGAGTGTGGATTATGATTGGTGAGTAGTAAAGGGGTGCAAATTGGCAAGATGGTTGTCTTGAAGTACATAAGATAAACGGCACTTCTTGTTCCCTGGTAGGGATAGTTACAGCCTGGGGGCAGCAGTGACGGCACCACCTGTCTCTGGCAGCCACTCTCTAGTGCCACGCCAATCGAAGCCTCTGTGGTTTTGTAAACGGTCATTTTTGATCATTTTAAGGAAAATGTGATGAGCAACTGTGAACAGTATACTAGGTACAAAGAGCTTTATTCATAAATAAAGATACAATAAGTTAAAACATCATATATTATTATCACTTGTTTAAGATGATTCACTTGGTCATATAACAGATTAACAGCAGCTTTAAAAAAACACAACTTTGTTTTTTTTATTTTATTGAAAGTATCAATATTAATAAAACTACCAAATACCCTGCTTTTTCTTGGTACTGGAGGTAAAAAAAATAGTTAAGCATGATTTGTCAACCCTAGTTTTGAAGCCATGCATTGTCAAATGTAATATTATTTGTTGTTTAAGTGTTTAGTGTTAAATACAGTACACAAGGGTGGTTTTAGCCTAAGCTAATTTGCAATGCCCTAATGGACCTTTACGTTACCGTATTTTTTGGACTATAAGGTGCACCGGATTATAAAGTGCATTAAGCGAAACTAAAACATTTTGACAGATTATTGAGCATCGTGTACCACATCAAATCGGTTCGAGGTCAGTAAGTACAATCAGAATTAATACATAAGGTGCACCTGATTATAAGGCTCACTGTTGATTTGTGAGAAAATGAAAGGATTTTAACCGCGCCTTATAATCTGTAAAATACGGTACATAAAATATATATTTTTAATTGGGCCAGTCAATACAAAACAACTAATTTTTTTAAATTGGTCATTTGTTTTAACATAGGAAAAAATACAGTTTTAACTGTAATTTGATATCTTTTATTTTTTTATTTTTCTTGTTGACAATTAGACAACATGATCAAAATTTTGTTCAAATCTCTTATGCCGCTGAAGCTAGTTGACACATTATGTCGTGATTGTTTTGTGTTCACAAACACAAAAGAGAGTTTTAGAGAGCACGTTTTTATAGACACTTTCTGAACTCTGCTGGTCAACCAGTTATCTTCCTTCGACAAGAACCATGCATCTTGGGTTCGTTCAGTGGTGTAGTCTACATTTTTGTAGTGGGTATACAGTACCGCGGTAAAGTTCGTTTTCACTGGACACTGTTGAAGCCATGGAGCACAAATGTCCAACGTAAAACTAATTTTACCGCTGTCGGTCCGTATACTGTGCTTAGAAACCAAAGTACACTGGTTAGTACAATGTAATTGTCAATTTATTTTGATTTTTAAGCATATTGAACATTTCCAAATTTTTCTGATGCTTATATTTCAACAAGTGTACAACAAACTTTGTACAACAGTTGACTTTGTATTAAAACACGTTATAGAATTTATAAAATGGTATCAAAGCAAAACATGTTCAAATACCATCAAGTATTAAGTAGTAAGTACAGAAGTATTAATTATACAAAATTGGATGGATAAGCAAATGTAATAAACAAGTGCTGCATACAGATAGATTGTTAAGGAAGCGTTTAACTGCTGTTTAACGTATCAATGACACGTGCCTAATGATATGTCATGTATCAGGCACTTTGAAGTGGGTATACTCTGTATGCCTGTGTGTCATGTAGCCTACACCACTGGGTTCATTGTAGTAAAGTGCTATGTGTTGTCATCATTGTATGTTGGCAAAATTGGTTCTCTGCATTTGAGCCATCGCACGTGGGATGCACCCAGGTGGAGCAGTGGGCAGCTATAGGCACCCAGGGAGCAATTGGGGATTGGGTGTCTTGCTCAGAGACACCACGACATGTGGGAATGGCTGGGGATTGAGCCTGGGGCTTTCGAGTCCTGGGTCGGCTGACATGCCTCTACCCCATCTAGGCCCCTATTATCATGGAGTAAAGCAGGAAATCATAAATAACTTACAGTAAAATCTTAGCCTTTTACTGCAATGTTGTTTTTCAAGCTGTAAGAAAGTGTTTGTGTTGATATTCCTAAAACACTTTATTTGATTTCTCTCTGCAGATTTTCTTGTGGATGAGGCTGTGTTGAAAAGTCTGTGTCAGTGTTTGCTGTGGCTCAGTCATGTCTGGTGAATCCTCTGGTTGTCACTGTAGTTCATCTTCAGCACCAGGAAGAAGGAAAAAAAACACATCTTCTCTCATTAATCAGAACCTTTTAGGACACTCCGCTGCTTCCACTGTACCACCCACCTCCCCGTCCACTCTGCTGCTTCATCATAGTTAATCACCTACAATCAGTGGTGAGGCTGCTCTCAGTTCTCTGGACGATTGGCTGTGCTTTCTGTGAGGGCGGGGTCTGCACTGATGCATCATCCGAACGTACCAGCGCAGCAGGAAAGATCCTCTCTCCCTCCCCCTCTCCCTACCTCTCACTCTGCCTCTCATTTCATACGCAGAAGCACAGACTGCAGCAGAGCGCAGGACCAGCAGGGTTTTCCTCCTCCTCGTTCTGGAACAGCAGAGAAACCAGAGGGACGCCGACCTGCTGCGGAGGTCATTTATGGAGGATCCCCAGTGGAGGGTTAGGCCTGCCAGCTGCTGACACTGTAGGTAAGTGTGCATCTATGTCAGTGCAGGGGTGTCTGTGTGTGTCCATGCATTTAAGTTCACTGCAGAAGCAGCAGCACTGCAGATACTCCAACCAAAAAGCTTCTGCTCATCACTCCCACCCCCATCCCCCAATCTCTTCCACCCCATCTTCTCTTGAAACAAGCACATATTTTCCAAAACAACTGCAGGGTGGGCATTTCCAAGCAAGCTTATGCCTTCAAATGATCCTCTCCATACAGGTGCACATCAGGCTCTCAGGATTTGCGAGGACTCCCAAGAAGCGCTCGTCTCTCCTTCGGGACTGCCCCACTCCCCTGCTCGCCTCCCATCCTCACCTCAGATTAGGATGCTCGGCTGCGTGCCCCTGTGCTGAGGAGGCGTCGGCGAGCAGCAGCATGGGCGCTGTGCTGGCCGGCATCCCCACCACCCCCTCCACCACCAATCTGCCACCACCACGCTGCCCACCGGAGACGGGCGCTCCCCCCAGCCCTGCTGATGGGCGAAGACACTGACGCCACCCCGACGCTCAACCACCACGGCTTCCTCCCTGACCACAACTATGTGACTGAAGGTAAGAAGGAGTTAAGAGGGAGCTGTGTGTGTTTGCATGCTCTCCCATGCAGGGCGAGTCTATTTGTATAATCTTTAAAGTGTGTGTGTGTGGGATCAAATAAGATTAGGGCGGCTTCCTAATCTCCTGTAAGCTCTGTGTTCATGTGCTCAGACAGAGCTGCAGACTTTGGAGCAAAATGCAACTTCGCTCGTCTCACTCTGTCTGCGTTTTGCCCTTCTTTAAAACATATTTGTATGTGTGTTGGTTTTTTTTGCAGCCATTCTTTCACCATGTGTAACATTTTATTTGTCACACAGCAGGGAGGAAGTTATTCGTCCAGTTGTCTTTATGTTTGTTTCAAATCATGTAATCTCAGGGAGAAAGAGGAACAAATAGAAAACATATTTTCCAGCAGGATATTTGACAAACAGAAAGGACAGTTTCACTTCATTTTGGCAAATTAATTACGTTTGTCAGACTCACACACTGCTGCACTTCACAGCAGGTGCATGTGTCAAACTGAAAACACATCAGATATGTGCTGGAGAAATATTACAGAGCTCAGCAGCTCACAGGACGCCCGAACCTCAAACCTGAGTGTTTCCTGCCAGCAGGCAGACTATAATGTTGTATAACACCTTGAATAACACATTTAATCTTAATAACACACCTTATTCTCATGATCCTCATATTATTTTAGACATTTGATTTAAGCTGCCTGTGTTTCAAGCATCTCATCTTTTTGCTCAACAGCAGAAGAAAGGGGACACTTGTAGTTCAACAATTGTTTTCACTTTTAACTATTCTTGTTTGTCTGCATGACTGAATGCGATTCTGTTTGATTTCGTCATATATGAAGCATCTTTCTAAGTTGTAGCTGAGTGTATGGGTTTATTCAGGACGTTTGAGGAGTGAGCAGCAAGAATGAGTCCTAACATCCACCAGCCGTCTATTATCGCCATAGAAACAGTCAGTGGTGATAAACATGCTGCTTTTCACGCTTGACCAGCATGACTGACAGGCTGTCTCCACCCACCAATAATGGCAGTATTAATTATTCCACACATACCCAGCAGACATTATTCAGGGAGAATTGCTGATGAGCTGGTGGACACACCGCCAAGCAGCATTGGACTGAAAGTGCCAAAAGCAGAGAAAGCAGCGGGACGAACGAGTTGCTCTCTAAAAATAAACCTCATTGAAATTCCACTGATGATCAACCCATTATTTATTGCAAGCAAGTATTTTCATCTAAATCACCCCCCCCCCCCTCCACTTTTCACCCATGCTCACCCTGTCTCTCTTCACATCTCCAGCCCTACCACTGCTGCCCCCATCGGTCCTCCAGTGCAACCAGCAGCATTGTCCGGTGCTGAAGTGGTGCATCTGACCAGTAATTATCCAACAGTGCTCTGAAGGCCGCTCAAACACAATATGTGTGTGAGAAAGACACAGAGATGGGATTTTATGTATGTGTGTGTGTGTGTGTGTGTGTCTGGGGGGGTTTCATAATTTATATAATTAATAATGTAATAATGTATAATTTGTTTGCTCAGATTTGTGTGTGAACGTGTGTCTGCAAGTGTTGTGTGTGTGAGCGGCGCACACAAGTGTGTTTGTAGGTATTCCCATCGGGATTCCCCTGCCCTTTAACTTTTATGGGGGAGGGATACCCCTCCTCCCTCCCCCCTCTTTCACTTACTGTCCCTCTCCTCATTCCCTTTCTCACTTTCAAGATATCTTCCATTTCTTCATCCTCCCCCTCCAGCTGGAGAAGCGTGCGTCCAAAGAAGGGCCGGAAATAGTAATAAAATGGAAGTTTGGATCGTTTTGAGAGTGAATGTAAAAACTTAAAGAAAATAATTACTGTGCAAAAGTCTTTAGGCTGCCCCCTTCTTTTTTTATATTTTATTTCCAGGCAGCCAGAGGTTTAAAAAAGGCTCCTAAACATTTTTTGTTAGGAGTCTGTCTCATAGATACAGTTTGTTTCAATTCCTTTAATCAAATCGGGAAAAATGCAAATGATGACACACAAAACAATATTTTAGCTTCAACATGGTGAGTCCCAAAGAGCTAAACTAAAGATAGCAAAAGGATGTTGCACCTCTCAGGTCTTGTGTCAAGATATTGTTCATTTGCTGCAGATTTTCAGCCTGACGTTTTTTCTTTTGTCCTCAACTTGTCCATTTATTTATTTGTGCACAACAGAGTTGAGCACGAGTGCTGGATTTACATAAGTAAAAATACAGGTAAACTCTCAAGAAAAACTTGGACAGACTTTCAAAAAATCCCAGAGAGACCACAGCTAGTTTAAAAGACGAGCATATTTATTGCAGAGCGTTTACTGTGAGATATAAATATATTTATTCTTTCATGTCTGTCTTCTGTTGAGAGAGGTTGAGTTAAAGCTCTGCTTTACTGAAAGACTCAAGGAGACATTTTTAAATCTATTGTCAGCCTGTCTTTTATTCAGATCCTTGTTGAGTGAGGAAAACCAGTTCAAACTGTAACAACTGGAGGTCATTACTTGATGATTCAGGTTTTGCTGTTAGTTGTTCTGCTGTTTGATGGTGCTAAGATGGTTTCTGGAGTCCACCCTCTCCCCCGCTATGTAAGGTGCTATTTATAAGACTGAGTTTGTTGTGGCTCCTCGGACTGATGAAGTCTTTTGGATGAAAGACAAAATGTTTCAATTAAAAGAAACCGTGCAGAGGACCTGACTGAACTTTGTTGGACTCCCCTGAATCTTTTCAATCAAAGGGCGTGTTGGGAGTAGGGCGTCAAAGACGAGGCACAAGATAACACGTGCCACTCAAGATCCTACGTGTTTAGCCCAAAATGTCAAATGTTGTAATTTTTTGTTAATATCATTTTTGTTCATTTACAAAGTGAAGCCTCATTTTCAGTTTATATTCAGGGTCAGGGTTAGGCTACAGAAATGAATAGAAGTCAACACTATAGTTAGTGTGTGTATGTGCTTGTTTATGTTACGTTGTGAGGACCATTTTTGAACACATACTGCATTGTGAGGACCAAAGCCCAGTCCCCATAAAGTTCAAGTGTCGTTGATGGGTTAAGTGATTCCCAACACTGGCCCTTGAGGAACACCATCCTGCATGTTTTAGTTGTTTCCCTGCTTTGTCTCAACTAATTTGAATGAACGAGGGATTAACAGGCTTTTACAGAACTGGATGAGGTAATCAAACCACTGAATCAGGTGTGATGGAGCAGGGAAACTAAAACATGCAGGATGGTGTTCCTCAGGGACCAGGGTTGGGAACCACTGGGTTAGGGGTTAGGTTTAGGACTAAGGTGTAAATTTAGGATGAGTTAAGTTTAGGGTTAGGTATGTACTAGTAATGGTAAGGTTTAGGGTTAGTTATCTACTGGTAATGGTTGGGTTTAGGGTTAGGTATTGTAGTGAACCTGGTCTGACCCTTATCTGACCTCAAATCTACCAGATGGACAGAGACTGTTATTTTCATTAATCTGAATAAGTCTGGGCCATCTGATGACTTTCTTTCTTGAATTAATCAAGCAGAAAAGACAATTCTTTATAATCATTGCTGTCTTACAAATGTTTTGATAATCAAATTGTGTTAGTTCACTCAATGCTTTACAGGTTGAAAAGAACTACTCATTTTTATTTTACATAAACAGTAAGTAATGATTTTTATTCCTCATTCAGAGAAGAAATCACCTGAATATGCATTTCTTGATTTTCTGTCTGAAATGAGTCAAGTCGTAAGTATGTGAAAGGTTGGTTTTCGGTCAACTAAAATGTTTACCGAGAAAGATGTCATGTTTAAACTTTTTCAGAAGATTACCAAGAGTTGACTCCACGAAGTCTGCTCTCCTGCAATAATCTCTCTGTCAGTTGTTAAAACAATCTCATCCTCTGACCTTGGCTTAGATAACATCTTACGTCACAAAATCACTCCTCTTTCTGGTCTATCCACGAATCAGAAAGCTCTGAAGTAAACTCGGAAGTAAACTCATTTAAAATGTGACAACTTCCCGGTTCTTTCAGGCTAGAGTCGAGTCTAGAGTGGAGTCGGTTCCAAAGAGTGCAGTAGATTCCATGGAGAATGGAAAAGTTCTGAAGGAGTTCAGAAGAGAACTAGAGTTATGGAGAGTTTTGGAGTTGCCGAGAATCCAGAGACGTTTGGAATTATAATTTCTGTTTGAGCTAACCACGCACGACTCTCTAAGGATTTTAGCAGTTCTCAACGGAGACGCTGATATCAGTTGAAAAGGATTCTTACTGAGGTGATCGATCATCAACAAGGTAAAACTTCTTCTTCGACCAAGTGTACCGTGGGCAAAGCTGAGATCTGACGGAGCGTGCAACTTCTGGTCAAACAGATTAAATTCCCTCACATAGTTCTCTGTAAGATAATCTCCTTTCATCTTAAACTCTTCTCTCTCACAAAATCAGTACAGATATTTTAGAAATATCTGAAGCAAAGTCCTCAAATCACCGCCGAGTGATTTGAAGTTCATTATTTGTGAAACTGTCTGTTATTATTTTCATATTTTGCCAAATTAATGTAAATGTTTGATGTTAAACTTTGATTCTGAAAATAAATGACTCCATTCATTTGATGGGTCAAAGATAATAACGTCTCTCGTTCACATTTCTGTTAAATTCAATGCACGGCATTTACAGTCAGAAAAATGAAGAACTCGTGAAAAGTATGCATAAATATATACACATATATTTGTCATACAACAAGTGACACGTACCCACGTGACTCACTACA